AAAGAATTAACGCCATTGCTACGATTCAACCATTCTTATGCGATTCAGGAGTTAACCAAATTTCTGATTTTTAAAAACTTCAGTTTGTGCGTAACCTACAAAGAAGACTTGAAGAAAAGTGCGTCAAACGGTTATAAATACAACATTAAAGCATAAGAACTCTTTTATTGGCTTTATGCACTCAGTGAAGACCTGAAAAACTTCAACAAGCACTGACAGTCCATGAACAACTCGTCGATCCGTTGCCAACTGGAGGACTGTGACTCAGCCAGTGGTTTAAGAATGTCTTCAAAACGGCTCTCTTTCCAAAGGGTTTCCCTGTGCAGCTGCAAGAAAAGAGCAAGGTAAGAATTGGCCAGTTCGAAGCATCGCCGTGAGTCGAGCACCTCTTTGATCATACGCAAAAATGATGTCATCAGATTTACGGAGCCACCGTTCAATGGACTCAGATTGCTCAACTCGAGGTACACTCCCGAAGGGCCGTACTGCTTTAGGACCTCAAACGCGGGCCAAAAGCTTTTCCCGTTGCATCGTTCCAATTGTTTGGCAAAATCAGACCGAAAATCCAACTGCGCAAAGGACACGATCTTGCGAGGCTCGTTAACACCGTCGCTCTTCAGGATATCCCCCTCATCGAGATCTGCCCACTTTGGCACAAGGCCCGGAATCGTGGGAAGGAAAAACGGCGCATGTATTGGCTTCTTTGGAGGCTCTATGGGCTTGCTGCGCTCCTTGATAGTCTCCAAATCCATCAAATACGCCCAACGAGTAGACGGAAGACTGGACAGCGAAATTAGTGACTGTAACTGTTCAGGACTTTCGTATCGTTCATCGTGATTTTCGATCGCCATGGAGTCGTCCTGCTTCTCAGATGCAGTTGCGGTCGAGCCTAAATATCATTTAATTAACGGTCATTTTTTAATTATATCACCACAGATCAAGAACTTAAAGTTCAAGGTTCAAACTGTGAGAACAAAAGATAACGATACATCATATTTGCAATGAAACGTAAGTAATTAATACATTACATTGGCGATCAGAAACTGCTTCACGCATTCTGCGACTTAAGGACGCAACAGCACGGTGAAGACTAACGAAGTTCAACAAGATTACGATAATAATCAGCAATGGAGAAGTTAACTATTCTGAACTAAAGCGGCAGACAGCGGGTGCATAATACCACAGCAGATAAAGCTCTACCGACACTGGACGTTCACAGTTATAAACTAAAACATTTGCTCACTACGACAGAAACAGCAAGAGCTAATTAATGAAGCTGAAAGGCACCAAATGAATATAGTTAGAATAAACTTCAACGTAACGGCCGCGTTCTGGAATTCAGAACTTCTGAGGTGGAAACTATTTTGCTCACGTATCGACACGGTGCCAGCGCTCATGCTGGTATTCATGTTCCGGTAAAAGCAATTCAGGCTGACAATATTTTTGAATAGAAGCCTCAGAGTGGAAAAGTTTCATTCCTCTGACTGATGCTACAACAGGCTAAAGCGCTGACCTCGTTAAGAGTACATGGAACAATTTGGAAGGAAAATGAGTCTTTCCTTGAGGAAGTAGAAATTACTCTGAAATGCCGACTAACTACGCAATCTATCATTCTAATGAGCGCTTAACTGAAAAATGTAAATGATGATTGGAAACGAACGACTCCAACGACGGCATGAAGCTGCTGCTTTTTGTACACACAACGTACTGTTTATTTTGACCACTTTCTTCGAATGCCGAAACGTACATCAATACACTTCATAAGGAAAGCTCGTGCTCAAACGTCAATGACTGATTTCATAATTGTATCGCTTGACTCAAGGCACTCAGTCATGGATGTTCCGGTTAAAAGAGGGGCAGATTTATCAGGCGATCACCACCTCGTTGTTGGCTCACTGCTGCTGCAAATAACGGAGTACCATACAAAGATCTGCTGGCAGAAACAACCGGAGAATAAAATGGGAAAGATCATCTTCGGTGGATACGAGAGGAAAATTTGTAAACAATATCGCACGACAGTTTGAACATATCTCGGTGATTACCACTGATGTGGAAACCGAGTGGGTGGCAGCTCTTCGAGAGCGGCATACTCAAGGCTGCCGCCTGAGGGCCAGAAACGAACTAGTAGACACCAGAGACTCAGCTGGCAATCTGTGGCTTGGAAGTAACGAGTCTCCGAGACTGGAATGCGGTATGCAAAAGTGAGAAGAAAAAACCGTGGTGAGATCTGATTCCTGAGAGAACTCTGATGAACAACAGATATTTGTCCTTCAATAAACGAAGTCACAGAAACTGTGAAAAAGATATGCTAAAGTTTTAGGACAACAACGCACGTTGCCAGCTAACAGATGCCTGTCACACAGCAATGGCTGCGACACTGTTTTGGAACTCTCCTCGCAGTCGAGTGCAACTCAGCCCCCATGCGTGTCAAGGCATCCAACACGAAAAGCCTGATGCTTTCTGATTTTACTTCTGTTGCTTCCTTCAGATAAACAGAGAATCAGAGGTTCAATGTAATGGAATGGAAAAGTAGAGGAGTTCACGTACATCAGGAATTTATTTACTGATGATGAAAAATGAAAGGGCGAGATGGATCGACGGATTGGAATGGCCAGTGGCGTTCTTGAGAACTAGCCCAAAAAACGCTGTGGCTAAATCAGAGCTGAGACTGGAGACTAAACTATAGATCTTCAAGTCGATCTTCATCCCCTTGAGTCGTGGACAAGGACTGAAAAATTTCGATCCCGGGCAAAAGCGACTGAAATAGGATTTCAGAGACGAATCGCTGGGATCACCTATCTCGACATGGTTCAGAGTTCAGATATGCGCGCGCGAGAGAGAGAGTCACAGCATATATAAACGGCTGCTTTTGGAGACTGAAAAGACACGGCTGCAAAAAACTGGACACATATTGCGAATGCTTTTAGCAAGGAAGACGAAACACCGACCGGCTGACCGGCCAACCGACCGGCTGAACACCCCGGATGCAGCCAAGAATAATCTGAAGCAAACGTCTCCAAGGAGTCAGCTCTAGAATGGGGCTATCTTCCGCTGGCAAGAGACTGGGAACGTGTCTGACGTGCCATCTTCCGTGACGCGAAACGATAAGCGGTAGTAATAAGTACGGTATTTTGAATAAAACTATGTGAGACGTATAAAAGGACTGGATCTGTTCAAAGACCATCGATTCGTAGTCTGCTTGGTTTGGTGAAACGGAGTTTGGCAGAGTAATGTGATGTTATTAAAATTAATTATTAATTACTGTCATATCATTATTCTAAATGGGACCCGTCAGATACATTAGAGTATCGACTGAGGTTTGCCGTTCGATAAATTTTATAAATGGTATGAAATAAACAGCTCTTCACCGTATTTTCAACGACTGCCTATGACTAAGAAATTACAAACAAACTACTGAAGAATATAAACCAGCAGAATTGCATCTGAACAAAATATTTAGGCAGGCATGACAGCATGACAAACAAGAATAAGCTGATCGATGATACCAGGAGGAAGGGAGACTGCACAGGACCTCGTTTTCGCTATTTATTAAACATCGAATAACAACGTGTATCGCTGTTCAGGGAATTTAGTTTTAAAGAGAATGTTGCAGCTGGTGTTCAGCAAAACCTGCACATTCGAAATCATCAAAAGACTTCATCGTATTATATGAGACTATCACATCGTAAAGATATTCTAAGCGTTGATACCGTTTAAACCTCCTTTTGCCACGTAAAAACTCCAGAGATCTGCTGGTATGCCAATCCCAGTGCCATCGGTCATTAAATTGGCTTCATACCGCAGAAGAGAGCATAAAGATAGTGGACAACGGCAACATCTGTCGCACATGGAAAAAATACGAAAAATCGAAGGAATTGGACCTTCCAAAACTCAACTCTTGGATATCGATCTTCGAAATATCCATCAGTTTGCTTTCGTCAGGAGTTCCAACCAAGAAGCTTATTGACACCACCATTAATGACTGCTTTTATGCTGAAGCAATGAACAACTGCTTTGTCACTCTGCTTCATCAAAAGACTACGCTAAGAGATATGTCGGTCAGCTCATAAAAGAAAAGGAGTCGAACCTTACCAACCACCTCGACTGGTTTCCATTTCTGAGGACTGCTCCGATCGATATTTATAAGATCCTCAAAGACTTACTGACACTAGCACCGACACTAAAAAATCGAATTTAAGCGTTGTAAAGCCAAGGTATGTATGGCATAGGCATATTATTGAATACCGTGCGTACAACCAACCAAATCCATGAAAGAAACTGAGTAATTCAAAGGAGCTTCATCTACTTGAACCCACAATGCCATTCGTTCATCTCAGAAACTCTGCAGATATGAAACTGAATTGCTCGACTAAATCCAGTGGGCTGTTCTGATTTTGTTACAAATTGATTTATCTATTTATGTATTTAGTTTTGTACGCAAAAATAATCGGACTGAAAACAACTAGCAAATTTTCGACCACATAATAACGGTGTTCATCAAGATAGAAAATAGCGATCACCATGATTTCGGTGTTCATACCTCAGAGAATAAAAAAACAGCGAATAGCTTATGTACAAATAGCATTATTCAGAAATGAAGCGATTCAGGATGTAGACCAGTTGAAGCATTTCCGCTGCATCGTCGCTAGTGGTGGCGGCATCCAGTCAGAGCTAAAAAAGGGATCACCCAGTCCTCGAGGGCTTTTGGCAACCTGTTCAATATTTGGGTTGAGAAAGAAGTTACCCCTGACATGAAAATCCGCTTATACCTTGCTTCTATCATGTCATATGACGTTGATGTTTGCGAAGGAACAAGAACGACGACTTAGAACTGCGTACAGCAGTGTTGGCTTTGACACCTTCTGACAGCTAAATGCTTAATTCATCATGGAAAGAATGACTCTATTGTCTTCCGGGCACAGGTCACATCCGAGATCAAAAACGGAGGACAGCACTGTTAGACAGACTGGATGAGCCTACACCTCTTACACTAGCCTCTGAACTTCTCGTGTGAGAGCCGAAAGACGGCAGACGTCTCCAGGAGGCAGCATGCAACACAGAGGAACAAGATAAGGGCATATCTGCCTTCAGAGAGAACTATTACCTTCCTATCTAAATGTCTTATAGTAAAAGTGTTGTAAAGTTGCCGATATAGCGAACTTC